CTGCTGGTGGCCCACCTCCTTATTGTCCAGAATCCTCAGCCATGGTAGCCTCGATATGACATACTCCCTATACCCCGGATGCTCACTGCAAGGGTTGTCCTCCAATAGGAGTATCTACCCACCCTCGTCCGACCCATCTGCAACAAGCTTAGCCTACCTCTAGACACCGACAATGACGCCTTAGGTGCTCCACTTCCTCCACATCACTCACAGCGTTTTTACGCAGATACAGCTCTCGAAGGCTGTTACCTACAACATCACAAATTCTTTCCCCGTTACACACAATAGCATCATCCTAGCGACCGAACCAGCTCCCCTTCAAGCCCAACCTTACATCCCTTGAACCCACTCAACGTCCTTATACGGTTCACACTAAGACTGCACACCTCCAACGCCGGCAGGGCCTCGCCAATGACGCTCACATCTCCCAAGTCGCTGCCCTACCACCACATGCCCCAAGTTGGCCCCTACTCCTTCGTACCCACCCAGAGATTGAGCTTGGTGATCATGTCCAGCCGGTCCGAGCGGCACCTCAGCTGCAACATCTGTCTAGTCAAGATCTTATCCCCACCCGCCGTGAGCCTGGGGGAGGACCGCCGACTCTCGCGGTGACTGCTATGGTGACGGTGCGAAATCGGCATCACATTCAACCACTACACAATAAAGCAAGTAACCTACTCAAGACCTCACTATCCACAGAAACTACTCCTGCCAGACACCCTCAACCACTCAGTGTGCAAGTAGTAGTAAAACCACCATCAACACTGATGGAACTACCAGTGGTCATAGACGATGCATCACTAAGGAGATACAGCACAGCCGATGTGACCTACAACACCAACCATCCCCCGACACGACACATGAAATAGGTGTAACCCACCTCACTCATCTCAGCGAACCTCCCAAGGGGTATACGGTCCCTCATAGGCTTGGCCTTATCCTCTACTCCCCATACCCTCAAGCCCATTGGGGTCATCACAACTGTAGGGCACACGGAGTTACAACGGATGCCGTATGGACCTGTACACCTGTTCACCCAGTGAGACAGACCATCCCTAGACCCACCCAACTCCAGAGCCGTCATCTTAGTGAGCATATCCAACCCAGCTTTAGAACAGCAATACCCTGTGTGACGGGGTAAGGCTATCGATGAAGCTTGAGAGCTCATATTCACCTACAGTACACCACACCTGTAGTATTCATGGTATAGTGTACATAAGCTTCCGTATAAGGCTATCATCACATTTCATCACTATAGACCACAGATTTCTCATCAGGGGAGTATTTTTCAATTTTTTCGATTTTCGAGCCAATTTCTCCACCAACCACCTCAGATATACTCCATAACATATGTAACATCATATTGCAGCAGCACCTCACGAGCAAAGTATTGAAGCACCTCAGTCGAGACGAGCCCAGTGCTCCCTCCTTACGATGGAGCCCTTGATGCCTCTATCCTTCATCGCATTGCCCACCACCTTAGTAGCCACAAATGGCCCACCAAGGTTGGTGTCAATATGAGTATCGAAAGACTCACTGCTCATCTCCAATAAAGGATCCAATCTCTGAACGAAAATACCACCTCAACGTCACTTGCCATACCACTCCTACCGCAATTCCTGCACAGTTCACCAGACCGTGAACTTCCTCCTCCAGCTCCAACGCGTCCTTCAATGCCGTCTCAAACACCGCATGATCAGAGACATCCACCGCCAGATGCGAAAGTCGCCCTGCCTTATTCTCATCTAAAGATGATGC